TTACAACCCATTAATGATGCCTTGTATAATGGTCGCCATGAGGAAATTAAAAAGCTTGTGCATCTTTATCCATCCTTATGATCGAATAAACAAAAAGCACTTATAAAGAAGAATTAGATACTAGTGGACATCTGACCTTAATAAAAAAAATGTGAATACGTGCCTGTGACCATACCAGAATACTCCTCCAAAACACTTGTTGGTTTTGGTTTTTACCAGCTATCATTTAGCTGCGAGAAAATCAACATGGAGAAGCTTCCTGTTTGTTCCAGTAGTTCAAACACACAGTAAAGAAAGAGGTATCGTGACTGTACGTATAATTTTAAGTAAACTTGAGAAAATGTGTGTCACCAGAATACCTAAGTTACTCTGGTTCCCACTGCTGTAAGAAAATCTAGGGCAAATGGTGCTGTCCTCGTCTACTGTATAATCACAGTACATTGGGCCGTGACATTTAGGCTATCCTTCTGCATTAACATGGACTAATCTTCAGCTACCATCTGTTGGTATGGCAGAATTGCAATATATTTATTACTGCAGTCAATCAGCTCAGATATGATGCAGCACATTACAATGACCTGCAATATGAACCAAGATTCCAGTGAGATACCAAATACACACTACACCAGTTTCCAATTACTAATAGAATTAATAAGTATGGGAGTTTCTTAATACATCACCAGGACACTGTGACATTGTGACTGGACAGCCAACAATTATACATTCATTCATTCTCTACAGCTAATCTGTAACCTATATTTTTGAACCAGTAGCCTTCATGTTGTGGCAGGGCTCTCTAAAAAATGTTTTATTGATATTATTGAAATCCTACTTCACTCACTTTGCTTATTTTCTCTGCACTGTCTGACCTTCACTGTGCAGAACGATGTATATGCAGAATTTGGTTTATACATTTGTCTGCTGAAAGGGGGAACGTTTCTTTGCGCTCACCTTGAATCTCAGTTTAACACGTGTCATTTTGACCACAACTATTGGAAGCCTGGTTCAATATGTAACTTATACAAATGTGATGTGGAAACTTGAAGCCTCCAGTGCTCTTGAGAATGGACTTTTCAGGGAAGTAGGAGACATCCTGTGTCTCAATTCTGGATTGTTTAGACGGGTCAAGATTTTCTTTAACTAGATAATTTAATTTTTAAAAAACAATATCAGACAGCAATTATTATTTACATCTTTATACAAATCTGTTCATGGTTAAACAATTTATCAGTGCTGTGGAAATGACCCTAGATAGCATGATTATGTTGTACATGTATTCAAACTAACATTAAAGAATTGTTGAAAAAATTTTTAAATTACCAACAACACAGCCAGCAGTCAGCGAAAACCAGAATAAGAGTTAGAGTAGTTTGATCCTGCAGTTAATTTATATTTCACATAATCAGATTCTTCTTCAGGTTTAATAAAAAACTTGACTTGTATTCAGTTTTTAGCATGTATCTTAGCAAATTTCAACCAAAGACGATTTTTCTTCTACCTTTAATTTTTACAATTAAAAGTAATATTGTGCAGCTTTTGCCAACCCAGGACTGTTGATAATTTGCAGGTAACCATAAAATGTGTATGTGGTACATTAGCTCAGTAAATGTAGCTATTTGAGGCAAAGTAACTACAACATGGTGAGTCAGTTCACCTCCTGGGCACTGCTAAGGTGCCCTTGAGCAAAACACCGAACCCCTAACTGCTCCCAGGGGGCCGCTATGTGGCAGCCTATCACTCCACCATTTGCATTAAACACTAGTTTATTAGGTACTTCTAGCTAATACAAATGCAGCCTGATACTTTTAATAATTCTTGCTTTATGAAGGTTATACTGTCCCAATTTATATCAGTGAGGACATACTAAATATTAGAGACACCTCTTATAATAACTCAATATAACACAACAGCCCCAGAAAATGCACCATCTGAAATGACTATTAACACCTCTCTAGAACAAAAACAGAACATTACTACCTTATGTAGGGAGGATTTTTTCAAGGTAATCACCTAAGTCATGATATCACTTTAAGAAGTCAGAGTAGGTTGTATTACTGGTACGGTACCTAATATGTTAGATGTGTTATGTTTTCTAAACACGGATTCTGTAGAGTCCCAACTATTCAGTGCTGGTCACGTCCAAGAGCATGGAGCAATAAACACAGGAGATAAAAATGATCAAGATCCCTATTGGCATCACCTGCTAGACGTGATCAAGTCCACAAAACACAGCCAGACCCAGAGATAAAGGGGGAGGTAAATCAGTAGAGTGGGCTGGCTGTCAGTGCCAGCCTTCACTCTCCGAGTCAAAAGCAGCAGAAGCAGCCAGAGCAGGTACAAAAATGATCAATTTGTTGGACTGAACCTTTTTAGACTGCTTTTTAAGGAAAATTATTATCAGTTACGTTTTTCTGTTCTTTCATTAGAATTGAAAAAAATATTCACAAGCTGTGACCATCATGTAGCCTCTGCCCAAACTCCCCTAACCCTCGCGTATAAATATTCAACAAAAAGGTAAATAATTAAAGGAAGCAGTGTTAACAGCATCAACAACACAAGGCAATTATATATTTTAGTTGCATTAAGAGTTCAATAGAGACTGAATAATTTACTTGGATGTGAAATCACTGGCAAGTAAACCTTTGTTCACCCCATGTGGGAGGTTGTCAGTTGCAAATGAAATGTTGCATATCAGATGATATTTCCAATGGATGGAGTGTTCCATCCACAACTGGAGTCAAACTTGGTAAGAAACTGAAAAAGTAATGCTTTCAAAAGAATCAAATCATTGCATAAAAAGACAAGAGACAATGTAATATGGTTCAAAGTCTTCCAGAGGAGGCAATTACACTATGCATCTTATCTTCCTCATCATAGCATTTCCATTACATTAACAGTAAAAGATAGGGCTGAATCAAACAGCAATTCAACTCTTCCATAAAGGCTTTCATTCAAATGTTGTATCAAAATCTTTGGAGAATAAACTTTGAAGGGACATGTAATCTGTTCATAAATATTCACTTTGTTTTGCAACAGGGAACTTGGAATAGTGAGATCCACAGAGCATGTATGCAGGTAGCAAAATAAATGGCACATACACATGAATGGTTCCAGATATTTTTGTATATTATGGTTCATGCTCTCAAATAAAAACATTTTATCTTTCTGGGAGGGAAAAGCTTCTATTATACTACCTGTTGTAGACCTTTTGGCACCATTTGCCACCATTTGCCACAGACTGACTGGAACAAGTATTGCAGAAGTTAAATCAGGAGAAAAGCCTGAGTGGCATGCGTCAGTTTGGCGTTTAGATGTAATGGTGCATGGTGGAACACTGTTGTTTTTCTCTAAGTGAAAAGGCTTTATGGCAGATGGGTGACTGGATGCACCGTTTGCTGCTCCTCACAGTTGCTAGCGTGTCTGGGGGCATGTTGAGAGGGGCACTCATTATCTGTCTGCTGCCAATGCCAACTTTAAGATTGTACCTTGTTTCAGCCTTAATTTACTTTTTCCAGCATGCCCCCATAATATAGGCACAGACATGTGCAAATGTAGAGCTGAAAATTACAGAAGTGAAATCGCGGTTAAAATGAAAGGAATGGAGCTGCATTTCCACGCAATCAAAGGGAGGTGCTGCCCTCCTTGATTACCATATTTAGCTCCTAAAATGGGAACTAATGGGAAAAAGTGAATTATAACACCCAAATATCATTAAAGCCTGGCACACCACCTGGGCCTCGGACACTTTCCCCAACACTGTCCAAGGCTTCTCCAGGTCTGTTCATTCATACCGGAGGGAGTGGGGCAGATGGTGAAAAACACATCAAGCTGTTTTGCAAACTGCAGACCTAAATATCCCTTCCCCTGAATTTAGGCAGGGTCACCACAAGACTCTGCAGTGTTGCACAACCACCTAAACTGTCTAACATTTACTCAAATGCAAGGCAGGATGATGATATGATGTTATGACCATTGTCTATTAAATATTACTGTCTGTTTTGTATTCTGCTTGTATTGACAGGTTTGTTGTCCTTCATATCTTTATGGGAATTAATACTTTTATGTTTGGGCTGTTTTATTCCAGCCTTTGAAGTTGTACCAGTACAGGATTTTTATCTAAAAAATAAAATCGTGTCATCAGCCAAAATAATAAACATCAAACAGTTTTGTTTTTTTTGTTTTTCATTTGGAGCTTTCAAGTGTGGAGACTTTATAGTACTGCCAAATTAATGAATTGTGTGGGGCTAAAATTAAGCAGACCACTGCAATCCTCGAGTTCAGGACATGGTAGATTCATAAAACAGTTTTTACACAAGAACTGAATGAATCCTAACATCTGGTATGTACACCTCTCCAAGAAAACAAAACAAAACTAATCTTGATGAAGACATGATAAAACCAGCACTGAGTGAGGGCTTCATCCAAATAAAGTTCTTTAGCATCTTTTATCTATTTTCCTGGGAATTAATACAAATTGCATTACAGTTGTGTTTTTGGTCTGAAATATCTTAAAGGGGATGTATTGTACTTCTATATGTTTGGGAGACTCACATTGGACAGATTAGAATGGTCAAAAGTGACAGAGGCCGATATATGCTGATTTTCAGTCTCCAGTATGGCTCAAGCTCCAAGAACACTGGATCCTACATTTCCCATAATGCAACTGGACAGCACATTTCATTACACCTCCCTAAATGCCCACTTTTTTCAAACCTGTTTGTCACACAAACTTTGTGTTTTAAGTGACAGTGGAGTGCCCCTTTAAAGTGTGTACACTACTGTGAAAGTGTAATTACTGTCCAGGTCCAGGACAGAGAGGCCTACGTGATAAAATAACTCCATATCATTGTTGTGTGGCAACTAAGAAAAAGGTCCTATGACACAGAGAGCTCTGACTTTTCCCTAACACAATGGTGTTCTTCTCTCAGAGATCTTAAAAGGTCTGTGCAGCCTTTGGCAAGTCCATAAGCTAAATGAGCCTTAGTTATTTTTCTGCTCACCTTTTTTCCTGTTGAAGGCGCGGTTCATAGTGGAAAATGTGCGTCTCCAAGGTCCCTCCTGAGTATCTGACAATATTACACCTGGAAAAGCAGCAGGGAGAAGTGAGTTAAAAATGGCTTTGACCTCAAGCCTTCAAGAAAAGGCAGAAAGTCTAAAAACAAACAGTCTGAAGGGTTTTTTTACTGCAAAAACTCCCCACCCACTGAGAGTGAGGCAATGCTTAGCTGTCAGAATGTGTTCAAATTAAAGTCCCAGTCCATCTGCATTACATTTGTTTACCACCGAGCCACATCGTACTCATCATCACGTCGTAATACAGTACTCATTGTGCTTTCTGTATTACAGTACAGAATGTGCTTAAGAGTGGTGATTTCTATCAAAGCCAAGTAATAGGGTTGCACAATAAAATGTAGCATTGTTTACTATGATCCCCTGCCACAGTCTAGCATTATTTCCTAATCTTTCCAGCAGAACTAGGGCATATTTGTCTGTCAGATTGCTACGTGTTCAACTGTATCACCAATATGCATTAATCTACACACAGAACATTCACGGGGGTAGAACCTGAAACTAAATCTATGAAATTTAGTCACCACAAAGCGATACCAGTGTTTACCTTCAGGGTTTTTTCTATCATCTACACATTTCTGTCTGGAATAAAATGATCTCACACAAAAACAAACGTAATATACATCAGCATTCTACTAGAACTTCTTACTTAAAGTAAGAGATGAATGCATATTGTGGTCAAAGTCAGTTTTTCTTATTTCTTTTTAAACTTACTGTAGTCGCAGCATTACAACTCAGTTGTCCCAGAATGCAGAGACTGGTACAGTACATTGACACTGTGCTACATTACAGAAAAAGGAGCCATTTCTTTTACACATGCAAAACATCCAGCATCTCTAAAGTCTGACACTTTGCCTTGACTGCTTTCAGACCTTTGCATCAATTCCCCATGAGAGCTCAGCAATCTAAAGGACTGCAAGGACAAACTGTCCAGGACTAGGTAGCTGTCAGCCTGCTACACAATCAATATTCCTTTCTCTTTTACTGTTGGAAAATATGCAAGGCCTGCCGCATAACAGCCATTTCAATCCTTTTCCTTTGCAAACAAATTAACTTGTGCCCGGGCAATTTAGAAAATGAATTGAATTTTTCCATCTTTGGATTTTCCATTTATCAAGGGAAGCCTGAGCTATTATAGGTTTTTATCGAATGGAAAAATAAATCCTGCTCATGCCTTGGAACAAAACTTCCAACATGCTGTATCCTACAACAAAGTGCTACAACTTCAGAAACCAGGTCTGATGTATGAAAACTATGATACATAGCTCTCTACGTAAATATCATAGAAGATCCATTGGATCTGGGTAGTCACTTAAAAAAATATAAGTAAGTAAATATTTCTGGCTTATGTATTTATACTAGCAGTATATCCAATATTTCTAAATGGCGTCTAAATAACACGCCAACGTGTTATCACAATGCATTATTTCGTATTTATTGAATTCTGAATATTTTAACTTTATTAGTTTAAAAGATTTGGACCTGATCCAAAACACAGCTGCAGAAAACCTGCCCAAACAGTCAGACCTGATACAAACAGTGGACACTTGCAGATTCTTGATGTGACACAAGCTGACAAAGCAGTCGAAAAGAGTACAAATACACGTCATTTTTCTCTTGTGACGACTTTTACACACCATGCAATGAGGGCTCAGATCTACTCAGCTATTAAACACATTGATGCACACATCTGAGACCTGGAGCAACACAACAGGACCCTACCTAACCAGATTTAACTGAATATTCTTTGGATCTGACCCACCTCAGGTACTAGATCAGGTTTTAGTCACTAGATGGACCTGTGTAGACCTCTACCACTGATTAATTTTTTCTACCTATGTGTACTTTATATATATATATATATATATATATATATATATATATATATATATATATATAATATATATTATATATATAGTATATATTATAGTATAATATATACATACATACTATATACAATACACATACATATATATACACATACACATACATACAATATACAACATACATATATACACATACATATACACATATATATACATATACATACATATACACACACACATATATATACATATATATACATATACACATATATACACACACACACACACACATACCCCTCAGTGACTTAGCTGTAGCTACACATATCAACACTTAAAAGGGGTTACTAAGGTCACATTCCATTTAACAAACAAGACCACATTTTATATGGTTGGTACAGTAGACTTCCTTGTATGTTGTTGTTGCTTCTACAAACATCTAATATATCACCTGCCACTGCAACCAACTCTGAGGACGTTTATGGTGCGAATTCCGTTGTATGATGCACAAACACAAATTGTGAGTGTGACATAAATGATGCTTTTCAGAAAATGAGTTTTTGTGTAAAAGGCATTATCAAACAATAGTCCTTGGGGCAGAGAAAACAAGATAGAAACTGAAGTATGTGCAAACAAATTGATCACCGTAACATGGGAGGTTAATGGGTCATTAGCTTTGACTGAATAGCAGAAAGGTGTCTCTGACTCAATAGCACAATGCCATCATTTTGCAGATATCTTTACTACTGCTTTGTGGGGGTGGTGACAAACAAGCAAACCATCCATAAAAAAAGACACATCTATGACAGAGCTCCAATTATTACTGAATTTGCATGAAACATGCTCTGCGATGATAAGCAACTGTCTCCTTAACTGGAAAAATGAAAAGCCCATAGCTGCAGACGATACATAACAAAGGCACATAATGATATACGGCATATAACTGAGGGAAATGTGGGTTGCAGATACAAATACAATGTATGTTGGTTCTCATAGTAAGGGGATATTTTACTGCAACAGAGGCCCTAGAAAGGGCTGCAGAAATTTTAAATGGAAAAAGCTTCAGGGTGGGGACTGGGACATTCCTCAGTCTGCCAAAACAGAATATCTTTGCAGTTGAAAAAGACAACTTGTGTTCCTTATTTACAGGTCTAACATTTGTTAAACACATTGCATGGGCAGATGACCAAGGCCACCACTATTGTTTACATTTCACCAAAGGCAGGGAGAGTGTATTCTGCAGATCTCAGCACCAAACTACTCTGCAGTATCTGGACTGCCAAATCAAGACCTTGGCAGTGGTGGCCTTGGTACTTAGCCTTGGGTTTCAGAGAACCAGCTTTTTGGATTTAAGTGCACTGTTGTCTTTATCCTCAAAGCAAGTTACTGTCAATGTCTAGTGTTTTTTTCCCCCGGCAAAATAGCACTGCATTAAGAAAATACAGCTTCCCTTTAATGGTTTCTACTTTTTTATGTAGTGTGATTTTTATTATAAAACCTGTGGAGAGAGAGAGAGGATATTTTGTGACTGTCTCTCGTCATTTCCATCAAGAACATAAAGCACACGAGAAGTGTGGTACACCTGAAAAATTAAGCTAAAATAGATGTTTTTAAATTAAAGGGGAAAAATCCTGCCGAAAATGTGTTCCAGTGTTTTAAAAAAAGGACAAGGAGGCATGTTTGACAGCTGGCATTCTCAGACTAAAATGAGTGACAACAAACAAAGCACTGGAAATTAATCAGGCTTGTTATATCTGATACTGAATCATTATTTGTGCCTTGACTGGCCCCAATCCCAATCCTTTGGATTGGCTCTCACTATTCAGAGCTTTAAATTCTTACAGCAAAGACTGGTTTCATGTTGGCAACCACAGCGGAAAGGTCTGGCAGCAGAGCAGGAAAAGCCTGGCTACCTTTTTGTTTGTTTGTGACAGGCGAGGCATTGCATTACACCTCAGTATGACACCTGACTGTGATGTCACTCATTTTGATTGACAGCTGCAGTGTTCGGCCTGTTTTAATAGCTTCCTGTCTGATGATTCAACAGCACCCCCTTGGGAGAAGTGTCGACCCCAACACACACACACACACAAACTTAACACTGAGCTGTAAACTTCCTCAGTCTCCCTTCGATGTTTACCAGCTGCAGTGAAAGCAGCAGGTTAGCTCTGGTCAATTCCACACCAGGAGTGTGAGTATATGACACACATATATGACACACATGCAAGAGCAACACATAGTTATGGACACATTCCATGTGTGCAGTACTGTATTCTTACAGTATACTCAGTTGACTATCAAATTTTGTTCCATTATTATGAATGCACCAACATTATTAGGCCTAACAAAAACAGTGTATAAGCACACAAATCACAATAAAAAAAAAAGGTAATTAAAACCACAGATTGCAGTTACAGACCTAACAAGATACTGAAACAGTCTGAATATGATACTAAATAAAATGCACAAAAAAAACTTTAAATAATACTTTAGCATGTAACATGTAGGTATATAAACCCTCACATACACACATACACACAGACACAGACACACACACACACACCATATTACGTAGTCTCAATTGTGTTTCTGAACTTTTGGTAAAAATAATGGAAAATGTGAGGCACCCCTTCACTTAGACAGAATATTATCCTCCAAAATGCACAGCGAAAACCATGTCCAGAGTCTAACAAGTAACCTTCAGTGACTCAAACATTTGGAATTTAGCTGAAGAAAGACTCTTTCTGGAAATGAGCACGACCTACTTTGACCCTGTGGAGTTCTCTCTCAAGCCTAAACAACCCTCTACAAAAAATTTAAATGAATACAAATACAAAAAGTTAGATACAAGTTCATCTTTAAAGTAGCGTTTTTGAGTAGAGAAAGAAAGAAAGAGAGAAAGAGAGCAAAGTTAACGTCCCATTTATAAATGCCTCTCAGCCAGTCACTAATCTGACCCATATGCACTAAAAGGCAGCAGGCTTTTAACATGGAATAGAAGCAGAGCATGCACTGTGGTCCCAACATAATGCCTTAGAAAAGAAAATCAACAAAGATCCTTTGTTTTCTTCACTTTGCTCTCACCCCGGCTCTGGAATCTCGCTGGATAAGAGCAGCACATAAGACATCGCAACTACAATCTGTTTATGAATTTAGTCCCAGAATTCCTCAGTTGAATCAGCCATGGTGTCTTGGTGTCTAATCTAAAAGCCAGATTTGCTCTCACAGCCTGGCACTTAAACTCCTCTGGATCAAATGCAGCACCCTGACATACTTTATCAGGTAAAGCACCGCTACCCTTCACAAGGAGAAGAAAAAAAACAAGATCTATAGAGTGAAACATGCAAACAACAACAGAGCTGAGATAAAAGCTACTTACTTGCCTTCAAACTGCGGAGGAATAGTGAAGAGGAAGTTCCAGCAGATCTTAATAGTTTTCAGCTGTGGGCCAGATGGTGGTACACTAAGGACTGCAGTAAGGAGAGATGATGGGGTTTGCAAACTCAACAAGAACCGTTTGCCTAGACACATGATACTTGACATTCAAACCCAACTTCCTCCGCCCACAGTTCGTCCAAAAGAATTCTTTGGAGTTTTGCATGTGCAAAAAAACAAAAAAAGGGCTCTTTCGACAGGAACTGGTTCACTGAGATGCACCGTGGCATACCAAAGATGACCTATAAAAGCCAACATGCAAGAGGTTGCAGTCTGACCCTTGTGCTGCAGTATGTGATTCATCATCACACTATGTGCACTGGCAACAGCCTTAGGTCAAAATCTTGGCATCAATCAAAACAGCAGTATGGCCAAAACAATATGAAGTAAAAGTCACAATACCACTCCAACACAAAGCCTTAAAAGCCTCCCTGTGAGATAATGTCATCTTAATAACACCCTTTCCTTTTCTACTGCACTCCAGAAACATTTCAGGCTCAAAGGTGTGAATCCTGGCAGCTAAAATTGTGTTACACCACTTTAAAATTTGACACTCGATTGTCCTTTTTATCACATAAAGATGAACTGTCTGCGAAAGCCTCAAAGTGAAGAGCAGAGGGCAGGGGGAAGACAAAAAAGCACAATGTTGGAACTGACAAACACCTGAAAGTGAAGCCCAATTTGTTGAGAGCAAAGAGGGGTTTTTTTTTAATCTCGCCATCTAAAACCTCATTTAAATGTTGTCTCCCTGGGGTCTAATCAGGAAACTGTCTGTCTGACACTGCTTCCTTTACAGCATTTTTAAGTATTTCAATGAAGTACAACTACATAATGAAGGGAAAGAATTTAAAAGACTGAGATGGACATATTCACATATTGTGAAATTTCATTAAGAACGGATGAAAAGGAAGTTAATATAAATTCTAAAGTACAAGACAGACAGCTGTCTGTGGCCAAGGGCTAAAGTTGATAATATAATATTATTATATTATAAATATTGGGCTTTCCAACAATGGAGAACATTCATCCAAATATATTGAGTGTACTTTGGACCGAGATGAATTCATGTCTGTATTAACACTGATGTGAAGTGCTGAGAGTGTTGTACATGGACTTCAAAGAGCTGCTGTAACATTTAGTGTATGTGGCATGTAGCAACTCAGAGGAAAAGTAGATTCAGAGAATCTATGTTTTTTTTTTTTTTTTTAGGGCTTTTTTTAAAAAAGACAAATCAAAGGAAAAAAAAAGAAAAGGTACAAAACACTTTTTGCCCAGCCCATTTTACCAAAGGTCATTTTGCAAAATCAATGGGAGGCATTTTCTGTCCTTTAATGGTATCCTGGTTAGAGATTCAACTCGACGGGGCCTTACGGTGGTGGTGGTGTTTTTGCTGGGCCAGCAAACCTTTGGTTTTCTGCCTGAGAGAGCATTTAAAACAGGGAGGGTCTCAGGATTTGGGCTGTTCTGTTCACACTTTATTTGTATAGGGTTTTTCTTTGCTCTGCCCTGTATCATTTCATGTTTGCATCTTGTATGAACAGCTGTGGTGGGGTAAGGGAAGTGGCTGGCCCAGACACTTTCCAGGAAAGTGGGGCCCTTAATGCTACACAGACATGGATAAAACAGTGTAAAAAAAAAGGTAAAGGAAAAAAATGCTCCTTTATACAGCTGCAGTGGAAAGGTTGAATTGATGATATCCATAGCATGTTTCTTTTTCACATATTTCTTCTTTCTTTCACTTCTTTCTGATCATTGAGAAGCAAATAAGTTCAATTGAAACAGCAAAGAAGCACACCAGACAAAACTCAAATGGATCTAGGTCAGCAGTTGAACACAATACCAATGAGTCATGTTTTCAGATTTGGTTTAGTAACTAGGCTACGGCACCAAACCTTTTTTTTTTCATATTTCATGTTCAGTAGCAAAATGTACAACAAGAAACATCCAATTACAGTAAACAATTCAATAACTAAATATAAAGATTTAAAGAATCTCCATCTTGCTGCAAACTATCTCAGCACTAATGTTCAGAGTTCTTATGGTTTACAAATAAGTTCAGAGTCCAGTTATTTCACTCCTTGCTAGGGCTGTGTGTGTGTGTGT